GTAGGACACCACTTTTCAGCCATGTACCTGGAGCAGGAGGCAGCAGGGCAGCACCCAGCCCCCTGCAGGTGACGCTAAGGACTGCAGCTGCAGCACAGGAATTCCCCTGGACAAAAAAGCAACCACAGGCAAGATAGGGTCAGAGACAGCCAACTGTTTACAGAGTCCAAGGTCTTCCTGGGTTTGGTCCAGCCTATTAAAAGATAGTCACCTCTTAAAGCATTTCAAAGGATGTGTTAGCAGTGTTTAAGAGGAAACATAATTGTCATCACAGCCGGGGTAGGTGCAATTGGGTAGGAGACCATCTTCAGGATAGGATGGGTGATGGGCAAGATTGTGCTGGAAGAGGATTTGGTTTGAACTGCAGACTCCCAAAGGTACAGTGGCTTCCCAACCCATGAAAACACCCACAGATGCTATAGCTGCTGGGTATTTCACACCTATGGACATGGTGTGGTCTCACTTTCTAAGCCATTACCAGCTACAAGGGTTGGCTTTGTGAACACAAAGTGAAGTTTACTTTCTAAGGTTGCAGCCTACGTGGGCATATAGAATTATAGAAGCACAAAGTGCATTACTGATCTCACTGTTTTGCTGCCCATAGAGCAGCCCATCCTGCTTTGTGAGGTGTTGCTGTGAGCTGCCTTGAGGCAGCTTGGGAGGAAGAGCTGCCTGAAGCCCTTTCTTGAATCTTCTTTAAGGATGCTGATCAGGACCCATCTACCATTGGAGGACTGTGGGGATTCCTCCATGAGTCAGTGCTGAGCTGATCCGGCTCATTAAGAGATGCTTCTTCCAAAGAACTCTTTCTTTGCATCTCATGGGTAATCTGAATTGTACAGCTGGCTGGACTACCTTCTTTGCTATGGCTGCTGGGGTGCCCAGAGCAAGTGGCCACAGCATGCATGCTGTCACCTAAGTGGCTTCCTCTTATTTTTCTTATCATTTCCTCCTTTGTTATTTATTCTGTTGTATTGTTTATATTTTCATAAACTCACTTAAATTCATTTTGGGACAAGGTGGGATATAAACCAAGAAGTAGATAAATATTCATGCTTTAGAGGGTAGTCATTGCAGAGTCTATCCTGGGAAGAGTGATTCCTTTGTTCGGAGGCCTTTCTGGGTATGAGGGATGGGTTCAATTCCTTCCGTCCCTGGCTAGAAGTATGTTGCCTTTGACTGATAAATTCATTGAGTCACTGAGTTGTTCCATGGACACTTATTATGTACCAGGGCCTGTGCTAAGCCTGATGAGGGGGTTGGTGACCTCAGAGCTATGGTCCAGTGGTGAGAAGTAGGCAAAGACTATGTAAGTGTCAGGGACACTAATTACACATAAGAACCACTGCCTTGAAGGGAGAATAGGATGAGGGCATGTCTTAGTAGGTGGGCTGCCACAGCAAAATACCATCTACTGGGAGGCTGAAACAACAGACACTGATTTCTCATGCTCTTGGTGGCCAGAGCTTAGAGGTCAAGGTGTCAGCAAGTTTTATTCTGAAGCCTCTTCTTTTAGCCTGTAGGCAGCCACATCTCACTGTATGCTCACATGACCTCTTCTCTGTGCTTGAGCAGAAAGAGAGAAAAAGAGCGAGAGAGTTCTTTCATGTCTCTTCTTACAGGGATATTGATTTTATTGGACCCCATCCTTATGACCTCATTTGACCTTAATATTTCCATAAGGGCTCCATCTCCAAAAAGCATTACACTGAGGCTTGGGGCTTTAACGTATGCATTTGAGGGTTTGGCACAAACATTCTGCCATGACAGGGAGGGAGAACATCTACTTCCTGTAGGGTGACACTGGAAGCCCAGTCCGCAGAGGGCAAAATGCATGCTGGAATGGAAAGGATGAGAATGGCTGTGGGAGAGGAGGGTGGGGAGGAATGTGAGGGCACCAGGCAGAGAGAACAGCCAAGGCAAAGACCCTGAGGCTCCCTGAGCAGCTGGTGTGGTTGGAGCTGACTCAGTGGTGGATAGTAGCACAGGGGAGAATGTGAGATGGATGGGGCACGGGTGTGTAGGACCTTATAAACCGGCTATGGTGAGGGTTTTGTGCTTCGTACCATACCCAGTGCAGAGTCACTGAAGGATTGGAAGCAGAGGAATGTCATGATTTGACTTAGGCTTAAGAAGCTGTGTGGGCAGTGGGTTGGAGGGATTGGGAATGGAGGCAAGAGATTGCTTGTCAGTTTCTGTAAGAGGTGACAGTGGCTGGGATTGTGGTGGTGGCCATGGTCTAGAAGAGAGAGTAGAGTCTGTCGATAGAGGTAAGGTGGGAGACAGGGAGAGAGAGCACTCAAGGGCAACTCCTAGGCTCTAGCAGAACATTTAGGTGTGTGGTGATACTGTTTACTGAGATGAGGGAGTGTGGAAGGGAACAGAGACAATGTGTTTGTAATGGGTAATTGCATGTGTCAATTTGACTGGGCTAAGGGATGCCCAGATAGCTGGTAAATATCATTTTGGGGTTTGTTTGTAAGGGCGTTTCCAGAAGATCAGAAGAGACCAGCATGTGAATCAGCCTTTATTCCTTTATTACTCAGACTAGACTGAGTAAAGAAGATTACCCTCACCAATGTGGTGGGCATTATCTGACTGAGGGCCTGAATACAACAAAAGGGCAAAGAAAGGTCAAATTCACTCTTCCTGCCTGGTCGAGCATCTTCTTCTGCCCTCGGACATTGGTGCTTCTGGTTCTCCGGCCTTTGGGCTCAGACAAGGTGATATGGTTTGGCTGTGTCTCCACCCAAATCTCATCTTGAATTATGGCTCCCCAAATTCCCATGTGTCATGGGAGGGACACTGTGGGAGGTAATTAAATGATGGGAGCTGGTTTTCCCATGCTGTTCTAGCGATAGTGAATAAGTCTCATGAGATTTGATGTTTTTATAAAAGGCAGTTCCCCTGCACATGCTCTGTTGCCTGCCACCATGTAAGATGTGACTTTGTTCCTCCTTTGCCTTCTGCCATGATCATGAAGCCTCCCCAGCCATGTGGAACTGAGTCCATTAAACCTCCTTTTCTTTATAAGTTACCCAGTCTCAGGTATTTCTTCATAGCAGTATGAAAATGGACTAATACACCAGGGCTTATACATACACTCCTCTTTAGACCTGAACTGAGTTTCACCACTGGCTTTCCTGGGCCTCCACCTTGCAGACGGCAGATTGTAGAACATTTCAGCCTCAGTAATTGGGTGAGCAGCTCCCATAATAAACTCCTCTTATGTTTCTCTCTATGTCCTATTGTTTCTGTTTCTCTGGAGAACCCTAACTTTTATAGTATGTAAGATACCCACTCGTAAAGGCAGGCTATCCTTCCATTAATGACTCATTCCAGTGTATCTGTAGCCTAGATCCCTGTTCTAGGAAAATCCTATTCCCTTCTTGCCTCTTCTATGTGGAAATCTCACAGACATCACCACTCAACCCATCCAGATCAGATAGGAACCGGGGATTTAATGCTAAAAGTTGTCATCTGCTGCTGCCGGTCTGCCATTGTTCTAAGCATTTTATACATGTTTTCTCATCTTAGAAAGCCCCTGGAGGATAGGTGTGCTAACAAGAATCATTTTGCAGCTGAAGAAATGGAGGTGCAATTGGCTCAAGGAACCTGGATTCATTTAGAGAGTGTGCCTGGGATGAGATGTGCGGATGGCCTGGCCTGAGCCAACACCAAGAGGCTCCTGGACAGGAGGTGACTAAGGAAGAAGTGATGGAGAAGGGGGGACATGGGGGTGGAGGGGAGGAAGCAGGTGGCTATAGAAGGAAGGAGATCACAGCTGTGTTGAATGTCCTAGCAGCCTGAGAAAGGAGGGAAGAAGGCCCTGCAATGAACTTTGTGACCTTGGGAAAGGATTTGTCCTCTTGCTCCTGGTGCCTGCTGTCTGAGTCCCTAGGAAGTATATACACAAAGGGTTTCAGAAGGCAGAGTTTGCAGGTATAGGCCACAGCTGCACCCTGTGATTGGATGAAGTTCACAGCTAGAAGTGGTGTTGTCCCTGGCTGCCGAATGTATCGGCTGTTGGTGCCACTTTAGTTTCATTGAGTGGGAAGGATGTGGACCCTGAGTCTGGAGAATGGGACTGGCTTGGCTTTGGAGACTGGGGAAGACAATGAGACCACACAGAACCTTTATTCCTTGTTCTTGGCTTCTTTTTAAACAGGCCCAGTGCCACCAGATTAAGGAGGTGAGGGGGTGATTGTAATAAAGTAAGAGATCAGTCTGAAGATTGTAAACATGGGCCAGTGCAACAAAGGGAAAGTCTTGTGTTGATATTTTTCTGAGCCAGCACTTGAGAGACCTGATTTTCTTAATCAAGTGGTAACAAACATTTTTTCATGCTAATAATGTAAGGTGAACATTTCCTACATGCTTAAGCCACTGAATGTACAGTGAACAAAAGACATTTAGATACAGGCATACTTTGAGGTTATGGCAGGTTTGGTTTCACATCACTGCAATGAAACAAATATCAACATAGAGGAATTTACACAATTTCTTTGGTTTTCCAGCACATGTAAAAGTTACGTTTACATTATACTGTAGTCTATTAAGTGTGCAATAACCACTCCTCATCTGTCTAAAAAATGTACCTACCTTAATTAAAAGATACTTTATTGCTAAAAGATGCTAAAAGTCATCTGAGCCTTTAGTGAGTGGTGATCTTTTTGCTGGTGGAGAGTCCTGCCTCCATGTTGGTAGCTGCTGATTGATGAGGGTGTGGTTGCTGAAGCTTGGGGTGGCTGTGGCAATTTCTTAAAATGAGACAGCAATGAAGTTTGACACATCAATTGACTTTTCCCATCATGAAAGATTTATTTGTAGCATGCAGTGCTGTTTGGGGCAACATTTATTTGTGGCATGCAATGCTGTTTGAGACAGCATATTACCTATAGTAGAACTTCTCTCAAAAAATGGAATTGAGCCTCTCAAACCCTGCTGCTGCTTTATCAACTAAATTTATGGAATATTCTAAATCCTTTGTTGTCATTTCAACAATGTTCACAGCATCTTCACCAGAGGAAATTCCATCTTAAGAAACCACTTTCTTTGCTCACTCATAAGAAGCCTCTCCTCGTCTGTTCAAGTTTTAACATGAGGCTGCAGCAATTCAGTCACATCTTCAGGCGCCACTTCTCATTCTAGTTCTCTGGCTGTTTCCATCACATCTGCAGCTACTTCCCCCGCCAAAGTCACAAACCCCATGAACTCACCTGTGAAGGCTGGAATTGATTTCTTCCAATATTATGTTAATGTTGATATTTAGACCTCCTCGCATGAATCGTTAATGTTTTTAATGGCAAACAGAATGCTGAATCCTTTCCAGAAGGTTTTCAATTTACTTTGCCCAGATCCATTAGAGGAATCACTATTTAGCAGCTTTGGCCTTAAAAAATGTATTTTTTAAATACAAAAACTTGGAAGTCAAAAATATACCTTGAACCATGGGCTGCAGAATGGATAGTAGGTGTAAAAACAACATTCATCTCCTTGTACATCTCCCTCAGAGCTGATGGGTGACTGTGTGTGTTATCAGTGAAGAGTAATATTTTGAAAGGAATCTTTTCTTCTGAGCAACAGGTTTCAACAGGGGGCTTAAAATATTCCATAAACCATGCTGTAAATAGATACGCTATCATCCAGGCTTTGTTGTTCCATTCCTAGAACACAGCCAGAGTATGTCATTCTTAAAAGCCCTAGGAGTTTTGGAGTGAGCATTGGCTTCAACTTAAAGTCACTGGGTGCATTAGGCCCTACTAAAAGAGTGAGCTTGTCCTTTGAAGCCAGGCATTGACTTCTCCTCTCTAGCTGTAAAAGTCCTAAATAGTATCTTCTTCCAATAGAAGCCTGTTTTACCTACACTGAATATCTGTTGTTTAGTGTGGTCACCTTCTTAGCAAGATCTTCTGGATAGCTTGCTGCGGCTTCTTTGTCATCACTTGCTACCTCTGCCTTGCATTTTTATGTGATGGAGATAGCTTTTTTCCATAAGCCTCACGAACTAACCTCCGCTGGCTTCAACCTTTTCTTCTGCAGCTTCCTCACCTCCTTCAGCCTTCGTTGTATTGAAGAGAGTTGATGTCTTCCTCTGGATTAGGTTTTGGCTTAAGGCAGTGGCTGGTTTGATCTTCTATCCAGACCACTTACATTTTCTCCATATCAGCAAGAAGGTTGTTTCAGTTCTTATTCATGTGTCCACTGGAGGAGCACTTTTAACTTCCTTCAATAACTTTTCCTTTGCATTCACAAATTGGCTGGTGCAATTGGCCTGCCCAGCTTTCAGCCTATCTTGGCTTTGGACATGCCTTCCACTAAGCTTGATCATTTTCAGCTTCTGATTTGAAGTGAGAGATGTGCGACTCCTCCTTTCACTTGAACACTTAGAGGCCATTGTAGGGTTTTTATGGGCCTCATTTTAATATTGTTGTGTCTCAAGGAATAGTGAGGTTGAGAAGAGAGTGAGAGATGGGAGAACGGCCAGTCAGTGGAACAGTCAGAACATACGGAACTTTTATCGATTAAGTTCACCATCTTATATGGGCATGGTTCATGGTACCCAAAGCAGTTATAATAGTAACATCAAAGATCACCGATCATATGTCATATGTCACCATAATGGACATAAGAATGAAAAAGTTGAAAATATTGTGAGAATTACCAGAATTTAACACAGAGACAGGAAGCGAGCACGTGCTGTTGGAAAAATGGCGTTGATGCACTTGCTTGACACAGGGTTATCACAAACTTTCAATTAAAAAAAAATGCAATAAAATGGTGTTTGCCTGTACTGACTTTAATTTTAATAAGTAACTTTATAAGGAAAAGGAAAAAATGTCATTTCAGGGCACTGTGTTTGTTATAGTCTGGCTAGGTCATCAACTGGGTGCTTTTGATGATACTAGCAGAGTCCTCCAAGTGCTAGGACACTGTCTGAAATTCTTGTCACAGCTTTAAAATTCATGGTTTTATCAACTAAATCCCTACTAGTTACTTAATTGAATTTTTATGTTAGCTTTCACTAGCAGCAAGTTTTGGAGTCAAGATGGCCCTTGGGTTTTACTGCCAACCCTGACAGCAGGATCCTGGACAGGGTCTCTTTGCTCTTGAAGCCTCTGAGGTTCAGTTGCAAAATGGGTATAATTGCCTCTCTCTCAGATCTGTGTTGAGGAACTCAAGAAATAACACACATGGAAGCACTCAGATCAATTACTTTTTTGTTTGGTTCTACCTTGTCTAGTTTCCTAGGTCAAAAGTTTGCTTTGCTAATGGAAGAAAGGAGTCCCAACCTTTCCAAGTGGGAAAGATTCCCTAGCTGTGCTCTGTGTATTGAATCTGCTTCTCATCACTTAGCTGTTGTCTGTATGAGTGCCTAAAAGGAGGAGATAATTTAACACACTAGAGAAATGGGAAAGACTCCTGCTTGGCAGGCACCAGGGTGGCGAGAGAATCCAGGATGCAGCCACACATAGCTTAAAGACTACATTTCCCAACTGCCTTTGCAGCTGAATGCCATCGATGAGACCTACATGGGAGTGAAGTGTGGGGAGTCTGGGAATGTTGATTAAGAAAGGCTGATTTAGCTGGTGGTGCAACTCTTCTTTTGCCTCCCTTCTTTCTCCCTTTCTGGAATGTGGATATGATGGCAGGAACCACAGATGACCTTGAACGAGGAGGTCACATGCTGAGGATGGTGCAACAGAAAGATGGATTTTTGATGAGCTTGTGGACCTACTGTATTAGTCCTGGATCACTCACTTTCTGTTTTTATGAAGAGCATAAACCATCCTCTTTTTAAGTTGCTCCTCCCGCTTTTTTGTGATCCCTCTTATTATAGACTGAACTTATTTCCTAATGAATAGATCTGCCAAATTGTTTATATCAGAGATGACAACAGGAACACATCTGTTTATATTTCCATTTCTCCTGAAGCCCCACCTAGTCCCAGAGGGTGGTGGGTTTCTTCACTGCTATTGCAGGCAGCAGCTACCTGGCTGTGGTGGTTAAAGTCAGTACTGCTGTTAGTCCTCGTGGGGCCTTTGTGCAAATTGAAAAAAGGCATTCCTGTCCTAAGACACCTTCTTGTTCTCTGCTAGAAAAACGTCTCGATACAAATTGACAGTGTGTGGCCCTGCACATGATACCGCTGCTTAGCTTTGGGTTAAAGTCCTGACCTTGACCTTCTCTGTAGGTCTTCCACCTTTACTTAGCACAAGCCTCAGAACAGCGCAGCCAGGGGCCTGGGAGATAAAATGGATGGGACTCTGTGAGATGGGGATGTGAGAGGATGGTTGGGGTAGAGGGTGGATTACAGCGAGTTTCTGGCTATTGACTGCGTTCACAAGAGCAGTTCCTTTCTGTGCCAACCATTTGGACTAGTAAGTTGGCAGAAGCCCTGACTGTTGCTCACACTCTGGGTCATATTACAAGGCCAACTGGCAGGCTCAGGATGCAGTATGGCAGGCTGTGTGTATAGGGCCATCTCCCCGCCGTCCCTCTGCAGAGCTGTCTGTGCAGTCCTGAGCTCCCCATGTAATCCAATGCTGCTTTTGTGTGAAGAAGGTGAATGAAGTCATCAGCAACACTTGCTTGTATAGAATGTGACCCAAGCAATGGAAAGGGAAAGCCAGGTCTTGGTTTTCCATAGGCTTGTGAGAAATTCTGATTTTCCTCTTTAGCAATTTCCTTACATCTACCCTGCCCACCCACATTGGATTAAAGGGAAGAGAGTAAAATGCCCTAAGCCCCAGAGGGAAAGGTGGCAGAGCCATGATATAGCTGCCTTTGTCTTTGTAAGATGGCCAACATCAGCCCAAAGAAATCTGTTCTGAAATGGAAGGAGCTCACCTGACTTCAAAAGTTACCAAATTTGTTGTGAGGCAGTCACTTACCCTAAAATATAAAAGGTCTCCTACTCTTTTATAGTTTACATTTGTATGTGTGTGTTCTTTTCTGTGTTCTTTCCTCTTCTTCTTCTTCTTTTGGTAGCTTTAACTTGTTCTGCAAATAAAGAATGTAACAGAACAATGTACGTTCCTTTGAAATGACACCATTAGTCTTGGTAGCAAGTTGCTCATTCTGGAGGATAGAGAGCTTCTGCTGTTTCATGGAACTGTCTCCTGGTGACTGTTTTCAGATCCTCTTTTCTTGCTTTTCCTGTCTTCTGTAGCTTCCTTGAGAGCTGTGGTTTCTCAGTGTTCAATTTTCTAAAAAACAGCAGCCTGAAGGCCATGGCTAGATCTTTACAACCAGATGCATATGCGATCTTAGCAGGAAGTAAGAAAAGTAAACACATTGTTAATAAACACGCTTAAATGTGTACAATAAAATGAATGCTGTTTTCTTCAAAGTAACCCTGCCTGCCAGATATAGACTTCGTCTAACCAAGCCTTCATTGCCCTGCCCAGCTTGGATCTGAAACTCTCCTCCAAAAATTCTCTAGAATCCCCCTCTAAATGACCACAAGAATCCCAGCTGACTGAGGGCAAAGATGCACCTTTATTTCTGGTTCTCTTTCTCTTCACCACTTTACTTCAAGTGATATCAGGCTGATTCCAGAAAGCTAATCCACCTTCAAAGGACAATGTGCCTTCATTTAGCTCATTCAGGAGAAGTGCTACAGTTTTGAGGCCCTCTCCAAGGCATAGCTCAAAAATTGTTTTGAGCAATGGGATCTTCACTTGAATTGGCACATGGCCTCCCACAGCAAGGATGCTCGCTAATGGGGAAGAATCTTTGAAAATCCAATTTCAGACGTGTTTCAAAAAGCAGCTTCAAAGTGTGTGACTAATCTTCCTAGTCCAAGAGCAGAATTGGCCTCTGGAACTGTTACGAGTCAGATTGTAAACCAGAGAGCACTAGTTCCCTGTATGTTCACTCTAAATGGAACTTGAATCAGAGCTGGAAGAAGGACTTCTAACTTCTGTCAATAAGAAAAGCATTCTTATGAGTCAAGTGCTTTGTAAATACTTTGATTGGTAGAAGGAAAAGGAATTGCATATTGAATGGACTGTATTTCCACTAAAATGCACTTGTGTAACGTAAAGAAGGGCGGGAAACATTCAGCCCAAGATTTCTGAGTTTGAGTGAACCAACCTGCTGGAGTGGTTTCTGGCCATCACTTTGTTGCTGCCGTGTCTCAGCCTGTGCTAAGTTCGGGGGATCTGGGGTTCCGATATTTGCAAGAATAAGCAAGGAGAGCAGGTTGGAAATCAAGCAACGGGAGGGCCTCCTCGAGACCTGGAGCTGGAGGGACGAGTGCCTTAGCTGCTTCTGTCTGTCCATCTTTCATCTGTCTGGCGATCAGGATGTTTTCTGGGGCCCATTCAATGCTTCTCTGTTGGATGGGGACTCCCATCAGCTGCCAGGGGTTCCACCTGTTTTCAGTGTTCCATGTGCAGTACTCAGAGAAATGCCTGCTGCAAGAATGAGTCCGGGGGTGAGCGCCTTTTAAGAAAAGTGGTGGCTCACGCCTGTAATCCCAGCACTTTGGGAGGCCGAGGCAGACAGATTACCAGAGGTCAGGAGTTCCAGACCAGCCTGGTCAACATGATGAAACCCCATCTCTACTAAAAATACAAAAAATGGCTGGGTGTGGTGGTGGGTGTCTGTAATATCAGCTAATCAGGAGGCTGAGGTGGGAGAATCGCTTGAACCTGGGAGGTGGAAGCTGCAGCAAGCTGAGATTGTGCCACTGCACTCCAACCTGGGTGACAGAGAAAGACTCCATTTCAGACAGAGAGGGAGGGAAGGGAAGGGAAGGGAAGGGAGAAGGGAGGAAGGGAAGGGAAGGGAAGGGAGAAGGGAGGAAGGGAAGGGAAGGGAGAAGGGAGGAAGGGAAGGGAAGGGAGAAGGGAGGAAAGAAAGAGAAACACTTTCTAGTCCTTCACAAGAGGGCCTGAAAGTTGTGCAGACCCCCATGCAGAGGGGTCTCTGCTTGGCTCAATGCTCTGCTCCTGCTGTCTTGTCATACTTAATACCTTCTTAGCAAGAGACCCTGAGATGCCATTTGCACCAGGACCTGCAGATTTTGTAGCTGATCCTGATGAGGTCCTTCTGTGTGGGGGCCTGCATGGCTGCAGGGCTGAGCCCCATGAGGCAAGCCCTATTGCGAAAGCCTGGAAAGCGTTTTTGTATTTCATACAGGGTGTTCACTCCCTGGACTCAGTCGCCCCAATATAAAGTCTTGCGTGTCTTACTTAGGTGGCGCCTGCTTGGTCTGAAAGAGCTCAT